TGAATTGACAATCAGTAAGCCGTTGATAACATTAATGATGAAACATTATGGGTTGACTGCTCTAAGCCTCCTCAACTTTCCACATTCCGCTCTGATCCCTCTGGACTTTTGACCTCTCTATTTCTCTTCTTTAGAAAGTATATCTTTTTATATTTCCCTCCAAACTATTTAAACTCTTCAAAATTTCTCAAATCGAGTTAACCCATTGATTTCGTTTAATTAACCGAAAATTATGTTTCAAAAAATACGGTTTAAATTAACTTGGTTCATAATCGCGTTTGATATAATCCGTATTGTAACCCTCTTTGTGAAAAAATGAGGATTTTAAATAGGGGTAAGATTCGAATTTTAGCTAAATTCGAATTATTGTAAACGCGATTTGGTTAGACGAATATCGGTTAATATTCGGTTGATGAAACGTAATCTCGATTTTGAAAATTTTGAAGAATTTAAATAGTTTAGGGAAAAATATGAAAAGATGTACTTTTTTAAGGAGAAAAAATAGAGATGTCAAAACTCCAAAGAAATCGAAGCGGAATGAAGAAAGTTGAGGGGGGCCCGCGTAATCAACCCAACCATTCTCTTTCCGTACTTGGCAACTACACGTGTATGACTTGTCTTTTGAGACACGCACGCCTTTATATAACACTCACATGCGCACGTGTGCATATATCTAAACCCGTCAATAGCTGAAACTCGGTGTAAAAAACAATTTAGTCAGAATGGGCCGTTTCACTCTACTTCGCCTAACTCTCGGCCCAAAACGTGCCAATAAATTACGTCATCTTCTTCAATTGTCTCGAAACCAAGAGAATTTTGGTTTTGTAATGAAAGTGAAAATCCCTAACTTTAATTCCTCCCAATGTAAGTGAGTTAGCGAAAGAGTATCGTAAGACTCACAAGTCTATGAATTTTGAACTTAGCTCATCAGATGAATAAGAGGAGGAGATTCTTAAGGCTGAGCTAAATATAGCTATATTTTTTTCAGTCTATTGTCCACTTTGATTTGATATTACAACAAATCTACGTATAGTAAATAGTTATTTAATTTTTTTTTTTTTCATCTAAATTGATTATATTGATATTTAGAAACTGATATTACACGAATCAGAAACCGGCATGGAACAAATCCATCTGGAGCCAAAAGCCAATATGATAAAAAAATACGCCTGGAGTCATAAGTCC